TAGAAACTACTGTACTACATCTGACAGTTTAGGACCATAAATATTTTGTAAATGTCCTTTCCTCTAACACATGCTTTCAAGAAGTATAACTGCATTTAAATCCTTCAATCTACCAGTATCCCTATACTATGACAGTTTATTGGAAAAATTTCCCTAACATTATTTCTACAAGATCTTTGCCTATATAGAATACATTTCCTTTTTTCAAAGAGAACTTGTACTGACACACAATGAATTAGCTGCCTTCTTGTGGCATTACTTTGGGAAATACAAGTGTTAAGAGTTCTATGCTCTAATTTCTTTCTTTACGGTTCTATAATTTTCATTATATAGATCTTTCACCTCTTTCATTAAGTTGATTCCCAAGTTTGTTTGTTTTTTTGTTTGTTTGTTTGTGGCTATTGTAAATGGGGTAGTTTTCCTCGATTCCTTTTCTGAGGATTTGTCACTGATGTATAGAAATGCCTTTGATTTATGGGTGTTGATTTTATATCTTGGTACATTGCTGAATTTATTTACTAATTCTAGAAGTTTTCTGGTGGAACTTTTTGAGTCTTCTAGGTATAGAATCATAATCATCAGCAAATAGTGCTAATTTGAGTTGTTCTTTTCCTGTGGTGTATCCCTTTAATTTGTTTCGTCTGTCTAATTGATCTGGCCAGTGTTTCAAGAACTATGTTAAATAGAAGTGGTAAAAGAGGGCATCCCTAGAAGATGGAAAGATCTACCTTGCTCTTGGATAGGCAGAGTTAATATTACCAAAATGACCATACTACCAAAAGCACCATACAGATTTAATGCAATTCCTATCAAAATCCCAATGACATCCCCCATAGACTTAGAAAAGGCAGTCATGAAATTCATCTGGAAAAATAAGAGACTCAGAATAGCTAAAGCTATCCTTAGCAGGAAGAGTGAAGCAGGTGGCATCACTATACCAGACCTTAAACTATGCTACATACAGAACAATAGTAACAAAAACAGCATGGTATTGGTACCAAAACAGACACACAGACCAATGATACAGAATATAAGACACAGAGGAAAACCCACAAAATTACAATTATCTTATATTAGACAAAGTTGCCAAAAAAAATGCTTTGGAGAAAAGATAGCCTCTTCAACAAATGGTGCTGGGAAAACTGGAAATCCATATGCAATTAAACCTCTATCTCTCACCATACACAAAATTCAACTCAAAATGAATCAAGAACCTAGGAATAAAACCAGAGACCCTGTGTCTAATAGAAGAAAAAGTAGGTCCTAATCTCCATCATGTGGAATTAGGCCCCAACTTCCTTAATAAGACTCCTATAGTTCAAGAATTAAAATCAAGAATCAATAAATGGGATGGATTCAAACTAAAAAGCTCTTCTCAGCAAAAGAAACAATCTTTGAGATGAATACAGAGCCTACATCTTGGAAGCAAATTTTACCTCTCACACATCAGATAAGAGTATTAATCTCTAGGGTATATAAAGAACTCAAAAAGCTAAACACCAAAAAAACAAATAATCCAATCAATAAATGGGCCAAGGACCTGAACAGACACTTCTCAGAAGACGATATACAATCAATCAACAAACATATGAAAAAAAGTTTATCATCACTAGCAATTAGAGAAATGTGAATCAAAACCACTCTAAGATTTCATCACACTCCAGTCAGAATAGCAACTATTATGAAGACAAACAACAATAAGTGTTGGCGAGGATGTGGGGGAAAAGGTACACTCATACACTGCTGGTGAGTGCAGCCAATATGGAAAGCAGTATGGAGATTTCTTAGAAAATTAGGAATGGAACCACCATTTGACCCAGCTATCCCACTCCTTGGTCTAGACCCAAAGGACTTAAAAACAGCATACTACAAAGACATAGCCACATCGATGTTTATAGAAGCACAATTCACAATAGCTAATCTGTGGAACCAACCTAGATTCCCTTCAGTAGATGAATGGATTTTTTAAAATGTGGCATATATACACAATGGAATATTACTCAGCAATAAAAGAGAATAAAATCATGGCATTTGCAGGTAAATGTGTGGAATTAGAGAAGATAATGCTAAGTGAAGTTAGCCAATCCCCAAAAAACAAATGCTGAATCTTTTCTCTAATATAAGGAAGCTGATTCATAGTGGGATGTGGGGAGCATGGGAGGAATAGACAAACTCTAGATAGGGCAGAGGGGTGGGAGGGGAAAGGAGAGGACAGGGGGTTAGAAATGATGGTGGAATGTGATGGACATCATTATCCAAAGTACATATATGAAGACACGAATTGATGTGAATATGCTTTGTATACACCCAGAGATATGAAAAATTTGTGCTCTATATGTGTAATATGAATTGTAATGCATTCCACTGTCATATATAAATTTAAAAAATTAATAATAAAAAAGAAAAAAAGAGTTCTATGTGCTATATACAAGTAATATGTGGAATGCAAATGTCCTGCTATTTTGGATGATATTATACAAACACAAGAACAATCATTAAATATCCAGAGCATCCCTGAAGTTCAAGGTACACTTTTATCTGAGCAAATGACATGTCACAGATTTGACATCAAAGATAAATACTAGGAAGAACTTACTAAAAAAATTCTGTTCATAGAAATAACTACTAGATTCAGTAGTTTAGTAAACTGAAAGGTATGTAAAAATTATTTAAAACCAATAATATTTGACCATCAACTATTTTGCCTTCACACGTGTAACAAAGACTGAAAATTGGCTAGATATTTATACAGATTGGTGGTGAAGCAGGAGATGAAATTCTTGCCCTCTCTTTGGCCTCTCTGAACTACTGCTACAACAAGAGTAGAAGAGAAGGAAGAGACATTGCTTTACATGATCTCTATGGTATCTTTAGGCATTAATAGTTAATACTCTTTTTTTTCTATAGTATCCAGAAGCTCTCAGATGAAACAGAAGTAGCTGTTCTTTATCTACCCAAGCTCAGAACCATGACCTAGTATTGTCTTTGGGGGCTGTACTTTAAGATCAGGACTATAACTTTAATTTCAGTAGAAATGAAAAAACGGAGCACGAAATAGTCTCTTCTTCATTACTACAGAATCTTTTAAAACTACTTGTTATGGTTTGAATATGATTTGAGCATCACCCAGAGGTCCATGTGCTGGAATTGTGATTGGACAGAAGTGATGGAACCTTAGAGAGGCAGGGTCTGGAGAAGATGGTCAGGTCATTGGAGACACTGCCCTTGGAAGGTATTAATGTAGTTCTTAGAAGACTCTGGTTAGTTCCAAAAAGGGTGGGTTGGTGTAGAAACAGCAAGCCTGGTGCCTGAATCTCACTTGTTTTCTCCCCTACCATGTGACTGCTATCCCACTCTTGTGTGTGCTCCTGCCATGATGCCATCCACCATGTTGCTTAGCAGCCTGAAGGCCCTCACCAGAAGCCAAAACAATGGGGTTGCCTGATCTTGGACTTTCAGTTTCCAAAAGTGTGAGCTGCATAAACCTCATTTCTTTATACGTTACCCAGCCTCAGGTATTTTCATAGCAAAATCAGTCTCTCATAATGCAAAACAAAGGTGGAAAGCTTCATGAAATATTTCCATTGGACATAGCAATAGAGAAGAATATAGTCTTCCCTTTGTGAAAAGCAAAATCACTTAGGAATCTAGACTTATTTCATTAATTCTGTTAGGAAAATAAAATTATTCTAATTCAATCATACATAAAATAAAACAAAAAAATACCTGGTCACCTTATATATTTTTGAATCAGGCAGATATTCCCAAATTTAAGGTTTGGCTTGGGTAGACAACTTCAAAGACTATCTCTTTGCAGCAATTCATTTTCCCCATTGCTTAAATATAATTTTCTTCTCTCTTTCTCATAAATGTGTCCAACATGTAATTCATTTCTCTTCATTTTAGAGTACTATACTGCCCCTATAATTGAATTGCCTGGAGTCTTTCTGATGCTTCCAAAAAGGCTACACTGTTTCTCAAGAAAGCAAGCACCATTTAGCATACATTCCACAGCTGAGTCTGCTGAGTCTGCCCTGCTTATGAATTACAGTGACAGGATAGTGAAGATCCTTCTCCCTTTGAAATTCTCCAACCAACAGGTATTAGCAATTAGAGAACATTTAAATATATTTTCTTTTTATGTTGGTTGATGTTGCTGCCAACCTGAATTTTTTTTTTTTTAGAAGACTCAACCCTATTCAAAACACATACTAACTAAGGAAAAGAGAGAAATTTAAACAGGAAAATGATTTTTTTTTAAATCCAGATAAGCTCTGGTTTTGGTTTTGGTTTTTAAACTCTCTTTAATGAACTTACAACTTCTCCTTAACGAACATTTGTGATGGTTTAAAAGATGTTCCTCATTCATGTTGGATACATACATTGTTGATTAGTGGAAATGCCCATGAGAAGTAAGGAAACTGTACTGTTATTTTAACATAATTCCATAAGTATTGTTATCACAGAGATTCAATTATACAATCAGGAGAAAGGTGCCAAAATTAAAAAAACAAACATCCTGGTACCAGTTAAATCAGTTTCTTCATCTTAACCATGTTATTCCAAAACATTTTAAAAATTGAGAGTGCAGGTCAACCATAGGACTTCTTAAAGAGGAACCGGAATCTTATGAAGTAAGAGAGGAGAGTTTCATTATTCTGTCTTCCTCCCCACACCATTCTGTAGGCCTGCTGCCTTTTTACAATGCCCTCTGCTAAGCGTATCATTCCTTGAAGTTGATTCTGTAGTGGACATGTGTGTGTCTGTGTTGTCAGTATATATAATTTTGCTTTTACAATGTTGGCAGTAAGAAACAGCCTTCTAATTTCATTCAGCATGATGATAGGCCCTAGCATTTTAATTATTTTTCATGTTGTGAGTAATTTATTATTCATTGGGTATCTTCCCTATAAATCTTGTACTCCTCTGTAAGATGATTTTTTTTGGGGGGGAGGGTGTCCCACAAAGGGTTTCATTGCAATAAGAATCAAGGTGTGTCTACATTCTTACCCAGGGCCCAAACAATGCCAGCCTTCCAGACCAGCCCAGGAGTTTGGGGTGGGGAAACAGAGTCATTATAGAATATCTTCATCCCTCGGCCCGGAGAGCATCAGAGTTATCATCCATGCCCTCCTAAAAGGGCATCCCGGAGCACATCTTGCCACAGAACCTAATTCAGGACTCAGAAGACCAGGACTAAAATTGAATCTCATTGGGATTTGCATGTAAGAGAGACCAGAAGGAATGGATTGGCTCCTTCTCAGAAACATTTGTCTTTTGATCCTTCTAATGGTAAGTAGAATTTAAAGGCTAAGGAAGGAAATATAGCCTTCAGGTCTTGTCTCTCCTGTCTCCTTTGGGCTTTCTTTCTACATGAAATTTATTCCATTTTTAACCTCCTTTCTGCAAAGAGAGATCTACAAGTCCAGCTTCCATTTATTTCACAGGATTCTATGTGCCTCAAGGGACCCAATGGCATAGAGAAACAGAGTGAGAAATTAGTTAGACTAATAAATTAAACTTATATGGTCTCAGAGACACAATCTAATCCAGATTAAATGCTAGGAATACTCTAAAATTTATAGTTAGAAATAAAATCATTTTTCATCATCTTTTACTTATATTTAAATCAGACAGATTGTTGTGAAAATTCCTAGTACAAATGCATTTGATATTTGAAAGGATATAAAGTTAAGATAGTGCATTTCTTTTCAACAGTTTTTTCCTGTGAGTTTCCTTCAAAGTAGAGGGATATCAGCTATATCAAAATTACATTGCAACTAATTATGAAATATTTAAGTCTTATTATTTAAAGCATTCCTCCTACAAGCCAGGAAGGAAATTTATTCATTTATTTAATTAGTTTATTATTATTATTATTATTATTATTTACTTTGAATAATTACAGATTCATAGCAATATACCAAAATAGTACAGAGAGGTCCCCTATACCTTTTACCCATTTTCCCTCAATGGAAACATTTTATATAACTACATACAATATGAAAACTAGGAAGTTAACATTGATACAATGCATAGACCTTAGGGAAACAACATACTTTTTTGACCTTTAGTCAGGAAGGAAATATTTAAATAATTTCTTTAACATAAATATGGCATTTAAGAGGTTATATTACTTTCCTCAACCCTGGGTGGCCAAGGTGTGAAATGTCTCTCTGGGCACCACTCACAGTGAGTATCCTACCCTTAGAGGAGGTAACTATTGCTAATTCAATTAGAAAAGATTATGTAAAGAAGCAATTAAGCCGGTTTAGATTAGATTAGACTTAAGTCCAAGATGATCAAATGACAAAACAAATCAGTCAAAATACATTAAAAGAATAAGAGAAAGATAAGGAGAGGAAATTATGTAGTTTTTTTTTCCAAGCAAATTAAGCAAATACCCCATACTTGGCTCCACCTCAGTCTTCTCAGGGGTGTTACGTCTGCAGGGGTGTTATGACATAACTTGGAAAATGATTCTCATGCTATTCCCAGACAAGAGACATTAAATTCATGAGCTTTGGTTCTAAAAGACAGGGCAGCCAGTGCTGGGAGAGATGGGAACACAAGGTTAACCAGTTGGCATAGGAAGTGTCATTTCCAGAGTTTATGTCTCTATGAACTTCAAAAGCGGTGCAGAAGCCCAACACTGCCAGAGGGCACAGCGCCCAAGCTCGGTAGGGAACGTGAGAACACTGATAGAACATTCTGTTCCCCTAGTTGAAGAGACATTATTCAACAAGACCATTTTTTAAAAAAATATTTTTAAACTGAAAAACACTAGAGTAGTGCAATGTCTTATTAGATGATTGTTATTTATTTACTAAATGACAAAGTTACTAAAGGAAGGTTAAGAATCAGACTTGTCTGTAAGAAAAATATTAAATTATCCACATATACTTCTTATCATACTTCTCTGGGGTATATCCATGCTTTGGCTCAGATAAACATTTTGTTTTCAGCAAAATGGGTCAAGATTTTAGAAGCAACTGAAGTTTGTCTCCTATTGCTGTCTGCACAGGCATGTTTTATTAAATGTGTTATTATTTAATTAAAGAGTCAATTCACCTTCTCCTTGATCTTGAAAGAGTATTATATTTCAGATTCCCAGGACCTCTTTTTGGTAGTATTAATTTATTTTCCTTGGTAATCCTAGTGGTTTTAACACTCAATCCTTTCCCACTTCTCATTGATACTATAGCTTTTGTTTTGATATTTTATGGTAATTGTGATGAGCATATGTTCTTATGCATTTCTAACAGCTCCCTGAAGATAACAATTAAAAATGTCTGGAACAGGAAAGTAAAGATTTCCAGCATATTTCAAGATCGTGACAAATCCAAGAAATGTTTAGGAGAATCAATATGATATTACAGGTGTTATAGGAAAATAAGCATGCCTATTTTTCTTCAATTTCCTACACTTGAACTCTACCCCTTTTTCATCACCTAAATCAAAGGCTCTCTGGGGCATCATTGTAGCTTACATTAATGAGGGTGTGGCGACCTCTCAGACTCATGGGTACTTTGTGTCAGCTACATCTCAACCACAAAGAGTACTTTAAACAAAGTTTTGACTGGCTTAACCAATAAAAGTACCCCAAACTCTAGGTTTCAATAGGGTGTTTTCTTTTATTATTGAGTCCTTTATATTTTCTTCCTAAGGATGATCATCATGTTCTTCTGCTATAAACTGGATGTGCTGGTGGGGTACAATCAAAACTGAACTGAGAATCAGACATCTCAGGTTTGAGTCACAAGCTACCCTTCAAAGTAGCTGTGTAACTTAGGGGAAAGCATTCCACTTCACAGAGCTTTATTGTAACCCAGGGAGAATGTGTGGTTAGACATGATGTCACGAAGCCTCCTCCACTGTCAGAACTCTGCTATTCTATGGTTATCATTACTGAATGCCTATGCACTAGAAGTTCATTACTGGCTCCTGAACCTTAGTTTTGTAAATTTGCCTAGAGAATCTAAAGATTTAGGTAAATTTTTTAGGTTGTATAATTTTTTTAGGAAGGAATCACTAGAAGCAGAATAGTTACTAGCTGAATGAGGACTATACTCTATCAAGGGATAAAACCATAAAGAAAAAAAAAACAGCCATTGATTAGATTAACAAGTTTTTCCATATATGGTAACCATTTGTTTGTCATATGAGATATAAACACTCCAAGTAAACATTCTGATTCTTGGAAAGTAAAAAAAAGGCTGGTGTTTACATAGAAGCACGTCTCACCTCTATTATTTATTTTGACTGGCAGGTTTCCAGAAATAAAATGATAGGGGTGGTGGGACGGGATGTAATATCTGATTGCTTTATTTGTACTAAACAGAATATCCTAGAGCACATTAAACGATTGTTTTTAGTACTGCATATCGCAGAAACTCTAAAGGTTACATGGAAGCATGAAATCTCATATCTATTACTTTTTTTCTCTTGATATAAGTGGCTAAGGAATTATATCCATTAAGTACTTTTTTAAGCCAAATGGACACATTTATAATTTTACCTTCCAATTCCCGCATAGTCCCTGATGAGAACTTCAGGTTTAACAAAAATAAGTTTTATATTCCTAGAGATAGCAAGAATTTATTACCGTACTATAATTTTAGTACAGTTTCCTTCGGTGACATCTACCTATAGAATTTCAGGATAAAAATCCTGCCTTAAAAGTATTTTTTTGACTCTTAAGACTATGTGATGCTTTTCCTTTTTAAAGATACTTCTCCTTCTTTTTAGAGAACATTGAATCCTAAATAGCTAGTCTAATGATGATTTCTTTCTAGTGTTTAGGGGTCCAGGGAAGACTTCATCACAGAGCAATGAATCCATTAATTGGGCTGTAGTGATACTTCCTTCCCTTTCCCAAGTGGGAAGGCAGTTGGAATTCCTCCTCCCTCATAGAGAGCATTTTGATGACAGGGTATGTGACGAGAGACTCAAGTGAAGCCCTTAGATTTTACTTGCATGAGAACTGTTTGCCCTTCCTTTCTACACAGAAAATTATATGCCTTACAAACTAAAAGGCCATTACTTGATATACCTTCAATTATAAACAAAAGTGGTATAATTAGGCTCAAACTTGGCGGCTCCACCATATCTCTAGGAAGATGGCAACTACTTTACTCAATAATTTTTATAAGCATAATTCAAGAGAGAACTGCTTATTAATAGGATGGTCCTAGGTGTGCAGATGACTTCAAAACTGACTTCAAAAAGGCAAGTCATAGACACACAAATAGCCTTGTTCAATACTTCTGACTTTAAATACACTCAATATGTAAGAGAATAACATGCATTCTAATATTTCAATGAACCCAGGTAATGACTTGGAGTTCACATATCTTATAAAATCACCAGTTTCTCTCTAGGAGCAAATACTGAAAGAGACCCAGAAAATTCTCTGCAATTTTCTAAAAGTTAAATGGCAATGTATTATTAATGTCATATATTCTATTATTCCATTTGGAATCATGTATATAAAAACCAGTCAGAACTTGCATACAGAGAACAGTGCCTATCACATACACCTTTTCAGTAAATGAATGGATCTAGTGTCTACCTTGTGTTTTTTTTGCCAAATCATTTTATGGTATTTACCACCCACATGTCGACAGACAGCATCAATGTGATTAATGGGCTTCAAAATGAGCTTGAGCATTTTAAACTCAGACATAGAGGAATAGGTTCTGGGGGTAAGGTCTGTCATTGTATTGTCATTCCACCATATTATAGTAACAAGATATTTTACAGTTAACAATGTTATTTCAACATATGACAAAATTCCTAAAAAGTATATGGAAGTATCTCATTTTAGAAATTAAAAAAAAAATTAGGAAAGAAATGAGAACCCACAATTAGAACAGGCTGGATTTGAACCCAGCAATTCAAGACTAAAAGCTCTTTAACTGAATCAGAATTGACTCCCTACACAGGTCCCATTGACATATACTTCTTTTACAATGTCAAATATTTCCCTATATCTTTTTTTTTCTTTTATCTGCTTGTCCTCTCTTTTAATATGCAAACCTTTCTAGGCAGGAACTGTGTCTTACTCTCCACTGAATTCTCATAAATTAATGCACAAACACATATAATTATTTTCTTAGGCACTTTCCGGTTCCTTTCATTAATGCAACTTATTATAAGGACACACAAAGAAAAAGAAAAGACAAAAAACTCTCTCATCAATGAGGTCCACAGAAACCATCATACATTTAGGATGCCCCACAGCTCTCCAGGTTAATTTGCTCCCTCAACAGTAGGTGCCTCCAACTGTCATT